AACGAAATCTTACCCACAATTCCTGAAGAGCATCATAACAGGTACATTATTAGTTTATTGGAACTAAATTTCTACATTTTCAGGTGATTCTTCACTGGACATTATCTTTTGTTGCATGTCTTAGCTGATGTTTTAGTTTAATGCTTTAACCAAAATGGATTGCTAACCAAGGATAATTTTTTTATTTCTTTCTAACTTATATGGAAAATCTCAGTGTTGCTCGTTTCTTGGAGTCACGAGGTATGATTGAAGACGCTTTAGAAATTGCAACAGACCCTGACTACAGATTCGAGTTAGCCATACAACTCGGCAGGCTTGAAATTGCAAAGGTAATGTGATATATGATGCTTAGTTGTTTTGAGAAGTACTTTTGACTACTTTGAAGGGATCATCATCTTACATAATTCTTGCTTGCAGGAAATTGCGCAACATATACAGAGCGAATCTAAATGGAAACAGTTAGGAGAGTTAGCCATGTCCTCTGGAAATGTATGTCCTCTCTTCATATTTTCGTCCTATGGTTTTGTGATGATATACAGGAAAAGGATATCCTGCAAACAATAAAATCATTTGGCTTATTCAATGGTTCTCGAGTTGTATTCAGAAAGGAGCTTACATGTGTAGATCTTAGAATAGCTATATGTTTCTTGTGTCTACTCTTATTTCTTTCTTAGTGATTCTTTTGTGTTTGTACATGTTCCATCACGGCAGTTGCAAATGGCAGAGGATTGCATGAAGTATGCCATGGATTTGAGCGGTTTATTGATACTCTATTCTTCTCTAGGAGACGCTGAAGGGATTTCCAAACTTGCATCTCTTGCTAAAGAGCAGGGGAAGAACAATGTTTCCTTTCTTTGCCTATTCATGCTGGGTAAATTGGAAGATTGTTTGCAGTTATTGGTTGAGAGGTAATTCTTGCTTATCTCTTCTTAGTCTGATAATCCATTTCATGTGCTTTATGTTATCTGTAAAACGTTTATTTCCCCTCCAGCAACCGGATACCAGAAGCTGCTCTGATGGCGCGATCTTATCTTCCAAGCAAAGTTTCTGAGATAGTTGCAATTTGGAGGAAAGATCTTAGCAAAGTTAGTTCCTTTTATTTAGTGTTCAAAAAATCAAGGGGAAAATGTATGGTTTTAAAATTACATTTACCCTTTCAACAGATTAATCCAAAAGCAGCAGAATCTTTGGCTGATCCTGAAGAGTACCCAAATCTTTTTGAGGATTGGCAAGTTGCTCTTTCCGTCGAAGAAAAAGCTGCGGAGATGAGGTTTCACTTGCATACTTTTTGGATTCATGTTCATTTTTCCCTTTTAGTAGCATATTCAAGGGGAGCCTTGGCGCACCGGTTAAGGTGTTGCCGTTGTGACCTAGAGATAACGGGTTCGAGTCCTGGAAGCAGCCTCTTGCAGAAATATTCTGCAAGGTAAGGTTTGCCTACAATACATCCTTGTGGTGGGACCCTTCTCTGAACCCCCCTCAACAGGGATGCTTTGTGCACCGGACTACCCTTTAGTAGCATATTCTTGGGTATGTGTATTCCTGAACAATTGAACATGACTAAGTTCCCTACATGGATACCTATATGACCATTACATCCATGTGCCACTGACTTTGACATATCATCCAATGACTTGTTTCTTGTTTTTCACGAAATAAGAGGAAAGTCATTAAATTTCATTGGTAAACACAAAACCAACAATTTGTTTCTTCTTCATCTGCAGGGGTGTTTATGCTGCAGCAGAAAATTATCCAAGCCATGCTGATAAATCCCACATGACCCTTGTGGAAGCATTCAGAAACATGCAAATTGAGGAAGAGGAGGCACTTGAAAACGGAGACGTTGATCATGAGGTAAGTTTGTCAGTTATTTGGTTACATATATCACAGCTTTCCATTCAAGTTCTGTAATTATCACATAGTTGCACAATATACGTTCTAATAACCCTCTACAGCATGGCAATACTTTGATCTAACTCCTTTGAAATAACTGGTTCATATGCATCTTTTGTTGGTTTTACCCCGAAACTCCCGGTTTATTTTCCCTCGGGGATCAGCCTTTTGAGATTATCGTTATCTTGCTGTAGGTAGCGGAAGAAAACGGGCATGAGCAGAACGATGGGGATGTAGAGGAACATCATGAAGAAGGAGAAGAGACTAAGGAAAAACATGAAGGAGGAGGAAGTGAAGAAGAGGGAGTTGCCGATGCTGATTCTACAGATGGAGCAGTGCTTGTCAATGGAAACGAGGTTGAAGAAGAGTGGGATACGAATAATGAAGGAAACCCGTCAGCCTAATTGCAAGTGGGGGACGCAAGTTGAAAAACTCAAAGTTTTGTCTCTGGTGATTAATTTGTTCCCCAAATGATATTATCTCTACCCAAAATCATAGTATATCTTATAACAAACTTTGCAAAAAGTACTGGTAAAAAAAATGTGTCACCAGGGTTTTTCTATATCTCTGTGTATCAACAGTTTGATCACTGGTTTGTGTTTTTCTTGGTGTTACTGATTTCACTCCTGTGTGTTTATGCATCTAACAAACATTTCTCTTTGTGTTTTTTTTTTTTGTGACAGAGATTACAACGGATCACTAGTTTCAGCTTGAGAATGGTCAGTTTCAGACAGCCACTGTCAACACTTTGAAGGTGAGAATTTCATTCTTTATTAAGAAATACTGTTGAACCGCAGATATTAGGGTATCCAAACCCTGCGGATTGTCGCATGGATATCCGGAATTCAAGAACCCGACCGCCTGTGAGTGCAAGGACTGATCCTTTGTGGGCGAAAACCCGAGCTGCGGGTTCGAGTACGGGTTCTATCCAGCGAAACCTCAAACCCATGGGTAACTGTGGGAGAGTGTCGGGTCCTCTGTGAGTGAAAACCCGAGCTGCGGGTTCGAGTATGGGTTCCATTCGACGAAAATTCGAACCTGGGGTAAAACCCGGGGAGAGGGAGAGGCATAGACAGAGATTGAGAGCGAGAGGGCGACAGCGAGAGAGGCGGCGCATAGGGTTTCGCCTCGGCCTCGAGGGTATTTTTATCTTTCAAGTGATTTAAAAAAAAAAAGAGATTAGGATCTCATTTTGGGGTGAGGAGGCGTAGAGAGGGTGGCCTCGTTCACCATCTCTCCGAGTCAGTCCAGATCACTGAATCTCTTATCGGCCAAAAACCCGAGGGCTTGAAGCCGAGAGGCCGGATACCTCCAAAAACTCGGGTATCCGACCCTTGCTCAACCCTAGCGGATATAGCCCGAGAGCATTGGCAGAATCAGACTACGGTCTATGCCCCGTTCTGATCCTTGCATGGAGATATCGTTTTCTCGAAGCTCATTTCGGATCGAAAGTTCCTACTAAATCTCACTCTCTGGATAAATTTTGGACCCACAGGGACTCTTTTCTTCATGCTGGAGACAAAGATGAGATGGATGTGGTGCTTGTGGCTTGGGAACTTGTGGTTTCTCCCTTCTCTTTGTTTGGGTTTTCCTCACGGGTGATGGTTTGGTCATTTGGACCGGTTCGAGTTTTGCAGTTGGGAATGATATATATATATATATATAATATAGATAGAAAGACTACAATTTCTGATTAGAGATTTCAGTTCATGATTTTCCTGTAAAATGACCTTTTTTTATATATTATTTTTTTATGCATATATGATTCGTTCAAATCCTTCACTTCTGTGTCACTGTTGGGTTTTCTTTAAAATTTTATTTATTTTTGGCTGTTTTTTACTTCTCCCAATGTAAATGTTCCATAGAATTAAGTTTAAATCCTATATAAATAGATTAGAAATTGATCCGTATAAAATTTATAACCTGATTAAAACCATTGACGGCTTTTTTCATAATATTCGTTCAGAAGATCACCAACACAAATGTATTATTATTACATTTCAACAAAAAATCATAAAAATGCCCTCCACTTTTGGTTTCGATAAAAGATTTTGGTAGATTTAGGCTAGCCAGGGGTCGGCAAAATAACCGAACCGAACCTAATCAATAAATATCCGAACCGAAACGAATAAAATTAAATAACCGTTTGGTTATGATTTTTTAAAACTCGAACCGTACCGAACTCGAACTGAACCGAACCGATTACAAATTATTAACTGTTTGGTTATAAATTTTTATAAACAGAATTAACCGAACCCGAATCGAACCGAACTGAAATGTTTATATATCTTCATTTATATATATTTATATACATATATGAATGTTTATATTCTTGATTTCATCATTGTTTTATTATATTTTAAATGCATTTTATCATTATTTTTAAAGGTTGTGTGATATAAATATTAGAAAAAAAACCACTTTTATTTATTTAATAGTTTTATATCAAAATATAAATTTAGATATTATTATTTTATATGTTAAAATAATTATGATAATATTTTATATTTTATTTTATTTGAATATTATTAATTATAAATGAATTGATTTTTTAAATATTATAACCGAACCGAAACTGAACCGAACCGAATCTTTATTTGGTTATAGTTAGGTTATAGTTTTAAATAGACAAAACCGAGTCGAACCGAACCGAAACCGAACCGAACCGAACCGAATAAAATTAATTAATTGTTTGGTTATGAGTTTTAATAACTCGAAATAACCGAACCCGAAATAACCGTAACCGATTAACCCGTAACCGACCGTTCGTCCACTCCTAGATTTAGTTAGTCAAACCTAAAACCTAAATGTTCTTTGAAAAACATAAAATTTTAGGATTTGAAAATAAATAATCTTTTAAAAATATCCTTAAAATGATTAAGGCTTTATAAAAAAAAATAAGAATTTTCAAAGTACAAAACATTTTATTTTACATTTTTTAAAAATGTAGTTACTGTACTTTTTTGTTGTTACTTTACTATTTAATAAATTGCTGTTTTTGTTAATTTCTCTAATTTGTTTCTAAATCAAGTTAATCAACACCTTCACATAATTTACTGAGCGTTTCTTCCATCCTTTTCTTTTTTTGTGTTTATTTTCTTAAAGTTTCTACGAGTGTCTGTCTAGTTTCTGGGTTTCTCTCTCTGGCCTGGTTCTCTCCGGATTTAGGGTTTTTTTTGCTGCTGCTCCTCGTCGGTAACTCTCCATCTTTCTTCGCCTGCATCAAGGTCTTTCCTTTTCGTCTTCATAGGGCATTCTGTTATCTGGGTGCTTCATCGTTGGGTTTAATTTTTCTATTTTTTTTTTCATTTCTCGTTGTATCTATTGGTTTCCTGGATAATTTACATTTTATGACATGGGCTCTGAGGTTTGGCTGTTACTCTGTCGATTTCCGGATTCTTTGTCTTGTTTTGCTGTTATTGTCCGAAGAATTAGTAGTCGCCTTGGGTTTACGCAGTTGCATACCTTATGAGATTCATAATTCTGAGTTCAGAGGAAATATCGAGGCGTTGAATTTTAGGGGTCTGGATCGAAATTGGGTTTAGGGTTTTGGTGGTTTTATGCCCAAATGATATCTCTTTGGCTTTGTTGTCTTGTCGTCTATATGATTTCCATTTGTTCCTGGTACTGATCACTTGTGCTCAACTCTGCCATGATACCATCTCTGTTTTTTCTGGGGATGATCATTTAGGTCGAGAATTTTCACTGTCTGGGACTCTCGGTTTCGATGGAAGTTTTGTATTTTTAGGCCTTTTGGTTATTTGGATAGGTGGCGTGCATTTTTATACCTTTACCAGAATGCTTTGTTCTGCTCATCTTACTCTGGCCTTTGGTGATTTATCAACTTCCATTTTGGTAGGCGGCATGACAAAAATTGTTGTCGTATATATGATTTCCTAAATAAATGATAGAGTTTGGGTATTTCATTTTAGTTTGCAGTCTTTATTGGGTGAGGTTTGCTAATCATAAAAAGGCATTTTCTTCTATGGTCTGGTTGTACTTGTGGAGGCATCAGAATGATGATGTTTAGTGCATTCTATGATTGTTTACTATCACATTTTAGTTTGTTTATTTTGCTATTTAAATTTTGGGCCTCACCCGGAGATGGGTTTCGATGAATGGTTCTTATCATCTGTTCCGTTTATAACACCTCTGGTTAATATTTCTCATTCCTGTTTAGGTGCTCAGAAATTTTTCTGGATCTGTTATTCAATGGGGGAACCAGAAAGTGTTCAGCAATCCAAAAAGAGAGCTGCTGTGAAGGAGCTGTCTCGTGACGATCCTGGTCTTGATGATGAGGAAGATTCTTCCGAGCTTGAGAGTGGAACTTTCAAAAGGGCCAGTGATGAGGTATTAGCAAGCAGAAGAATCGTCAGAGTTAAGCGCAAAGAGGCCTCAGCTACAACGTCATCATCCAATCCGTTTGCTGGAATCCGCTTGGTTCATCCTACTGGAACTGTTGAGGAAACAAATTCATCACTGGCTGAATCAAAATTAACTTCAGCTGAAACTGTAACCGAGGGAGAAAAACCAGCACCAGATGATCAAAGAACTGATGCTACCAAGGAAACAACTGATGTTATCAAAGAAAACAATAGTGAAGCAATTAGCACTGGAAAGGATGCTGAAGATGAAAGTAGTAAGGCAAATAATCAGGAAACTGCAGAATCAAAGGCTGAAGATGCAGTTGGGAAAGAGACAGAGAAGGCTAAAGAGGAGGCAGACAATCGTAACACAGTTAAGGAGACTGACCAAACTGGTGATCGTACCGAAAAGGGATCAGCTGGTGATCAGACCGAGAACGAAGGAAAGGAAAACAACGAAAGTGAAAACGTGGAGAAGAATGGAGATGGTGGTGCTTTGAGCTCATTTCAACAGCATTCAAGTACCAAAAATGCTTTCACTGGACTTGCTGGTACTGGTTTCTCTAGTTCTTCATTCTCATTCAGTTCGGTTTCTCAGGAGGGTTCTACTGGTTCTGGGTCGCTCTTTGGACAGAAGGCTGACCAGACCTCTTTTAGTTTTGGTCTCTCAAACAATGGTAACTCTTCCTTGTTTGGTGGCTCTGGTACTTCCATTATAACGAAGAGCGAGGGTAGTGCTTTCCCGTCAAAGGAAGAGGTTTCAGTGGAGACAGGGGAAGAGAATGAGAGAGTGGAATTCTCAGCCGATTCTGTACTGTTTGAGTTTTTCGATGGAGCATGGAAGGAACGTGGGAAGGGAGAAATCAAGGTAAACGTTTCCACCAACGGTACCGGAAAAGCTAGATTACTTATGAGAGCAAGGGGCAACTATAGATTGATCCTGAATGCGGGTCTCTTCCCGGAGATGAAACTCACAAACATGGACAAGAAAGGAATCACATTTGCATGTGTGAATAGTATCGGCGAAGGCAAAGACGGTCTCTCCACCTTTGCTTTGAAATTTAAGGACCCGACATTCGTGGAAGTGTTCCGAGCTGCTGTCATGAAGCATAAAGATGGTAAACAAGTAGAGGCAGCTCCTCTGAAAACGCCTGAGAACTCTCCTTAGGGGGGAAAAAGAAAGAAAGGTAAACACAACACTGAATCATCACTTTCCTTTGTCTTTCCTGTTGTTTCTAAGTTAAATTTTGTGCGGTTGAGGCAGAAGGAAAGAATAGTAGATGGTGGAGAAGTATCTCTTCTCTTTGGCTGTTATTTGCGGGATCTTTGTTTGGAACATGCTTTTTGTTTTAATCTATCAAAGACATAAATGAGAGAACATTCATTCAACATTATGAGTTGGTGTTTAAATGTTCAATAACATGGCATTGGCAGTCTTTCCTTGCATTTGAAATGGACAGTGTAAGTTCTGCTTGTGGTCTTACTCTTTGTTCTGTCTGCACCAACTTGGAGATTGTTCTAATGCTTTTTCCTTAGGGTTTAGAATTTTGCCCACAACAGGCTGATGTGTGAACCATCTCTGTTATGTTTTCTTGAGGTAGGAGATTAAAAAGTAAGATGATGATGGTGATGATGATGATGATGATGATAGATGGTGGATGATGAACTGCCTTTTGTAGAATACCGACTGAATTCCGGCAAAATGGGAACCAAACTCGTGGTTATGTCAACGTGTTTGCTTGCATGAGTTTTGATGGTCAGTTTTCTAATGACGAATACGGTGATGGATCATATTCATACATACAATATCATATATTTGAATTTTAAACTATGTAACCCTAAGTGGATCTACTTTTTGTTTTTTAATCAAAATAATATAGTTCGATATAATACGTCGTTTTTTTAAAAACTGTTTTTTCCTTCTAATGATGGATTATGAACCTAAAATATTGATAACTAGAAATCGTGTAATTTAGTTGTAAAACTTAATTAACTTAAATAGATGTAATTGTTTGTTATTTTGAATTACGATAATAGAGACAAGCTATGGAGGTTCTTTGTGATCGTAAGGTTCCCTTACGGTTGAAAGGAAAATTCTACCGTACCGTCATAAGACCCGCATTATTGTATGGTAGCGAATGTTAGACGGCAAAAGGCAACATATGTCTACAATGAGTGTCGCCGAGATGAGGATATTGAGATGGATGTGTGAACATACAAGAATGGATAGAATTAGAAATGAGATTACTAGAAAGAAAATAGGAGTAATAGGTATGGAAGATAAAGTACGGAAGAACGTTTAAGATGGTTTGGACATGTATAACGCAAACCGATAGATGCGCATGTTAGAAAAGTGAAGAGTATAGATATAGGGGTGAGAAGAAAAGGAAGAGGTAGACCTATATTTACTAGGGAGCATGTCATTAGAAACGATTTGGAAGTGTTGAATATTCCGAAAGAGTTAACCTGGGATCGAAATGAGTGGAGAAAAATGATTTATGCGACGACTCCAAATGAACTTGGGGATGATGCGATGTTGTTGTTGTAAACTTTGACAACAAAATTCAGTCAATTTTCCATGATACATTGAATGTTTGTAAAACGCAATCCATGTTTAGGTTAGTTATTTAAATATTTTTTTTTAGCTCGCTAGGCAAATGAGTTTACGTCCGAGTTACGAACCAACCAGCTCGACTGAGTCGCGTGTTGTTTCGGCTAGCCATGAACCCTAAATTATTTTTCTCCGTCTTCTTCCTTCTTCCATTCCAACAGCGGTATTTGCCAATTGAACTTATGCATGACATTTGAAATAACAATGGTTAAAACTCTAATTTTTACTAGTTCATTTTAATATATATATATATATATATATATATATATTTGTTCTTTTAATATCCCAACTGTGGAAAATTCCAAGTTCTTATACGTTTTGTAATCATTTTGCCTTGCAAAATTGATAGCTTTCTTCTTTATACCCATTTTTATATAAAGATGATTATACATAAAAACTAGACTACCATCAAAACGAGATCTTAAATCCTTTAAAATGTTATTTGTTTTGAATTTATGAGTCGGTTTGTTTGGTTTTCGAACTAATCTAATCGAATTATGGTTGAATATTTTCATTTGATTTAAAAAATAGATATAACCAAACCGATCGAGTCGAATCAAGTTTAAAATTAACATGATGATTTATACCAATTCCACATGAACAAGCGCGTTTTAAACCTAGAGGTAATATCCTAAAACAAAACCAGACATTACAATTTCATTAGCGTTTTAGATATATCTTATTTCTCATATTTATATGTGCATTTCAAGTCATACGTTTCCATTTCGTTATACCTAATAACATTATATATATATATATATATACACACCTAATAAAACTTCATTTTATCGAATAATTTTATAATTGTTTATTATAAGTGTAGCTTCTTTTTTTTTTTTGGTCGGTGATATCTAGATCATATAGTTTGCATTTGTAATAAAAAAAATTATATGTAAAACGGATATTAGCTAACTTTTCTGCTACACCCAAGCCAAAGTACACAAATATTTTTCATACTTTAAACAGGATACATATGATTCTGTACGTTTGGTAGTACGATGTAAAATATTTATCAATAATTACAAAATTACAAGCTTTCATCTTAACCAAAATCATTTTTACAAGTGAAAACCGTATCCAACAAATAAAAAAGGAATTTTTTTTCGCAATAGTTTCGTAATCTAACAAGTTCTAATGTGTTTACATATATAAATGTATATTTACATAATGGTTATACGTCGGGATTCCGAAACAAATCCTAGATCTCGCGAGAGATAATGTTTCTCGACTTCTCTGTTTTTATTTTTATTATCACAATAATCGGACTCAAATAACTTGAATATGGTAAACAATATCGTACAGTTTCTATTCTCGAACAAAAAATATACATACAAAGAAATTGAAAATAACAAAAATATTAACTAATCTAAAATATACATTTAGGTATATCTATAATATATCATTTCATATAAACAGTAATATATGATATATCTTAATATTTATATAATGGAATAAGAACATTCCAATTTTCACTTCGTTTTCCATATTCACGTGAACGTGATTTACGTGGTTATATTCAAAATAACGTATCTATATTTCGTATAACCACAAACCTTTTTTTTTTTTTAATTAAATGAATTCAATCACCTAACTTAGCCTCACCCTCTTCGTTCGCACTATTTAAAGATCTTCACTGCCCCTATTCTTTCTTCACCCATTACTTTAAAACACTATTTTCAAGAGTAAAAGAAAAACAAAAGGTATAATAGAACAAAAAAAATCAATGACTTATAAGAAGCTTCCTCTGTTAGGGTTAGGGTTTCTTCTGTTCCTCGGCCTTGTCATCGGCTCAGCTCCGACCACCTTGGCAGAGGATCCTCTCTGTCCCAAGACCGAAACATTTAGCCGCGCAAGCTTTCCTAAAGGCCTGATCTTTGGTACTGGCGTTGCTTCTTATCAGGTAAGTACGTTACGTTACGTGAATGAATCACCACCATAATAATTAACAGCCAACTGTTTTTTTTGGTAATGTCCAAACATATTTTGACGAATTAACACCCAACTTTGTTTTCATTGTCACTATATATATCTCTCGATCTTTCATTTATTACATGGGGTGGTCTAATGTCTATGGTTGCGTTGTTAGGTTGAAGGCGCAGTCAATGAAGGTTGTAAAGGTCCGAGCATGTGGGACGTCTATGTCAAGAAATTCCCACGTAAGTTATTTAAAATGATAGAGAGTTTATGTAATTATAGAATCGTAATAATTATCAGTATATTTGTTTTATGGAATAAATATACCAAATTTGTCAAAAATACTCATAAAACATTATGAAACATATAGGAACACATTTGAAATAGCAACTTTGAAACCAAAAAATCGCAAAAGGGTGAAGAAACACTTCTTTTTTATTTGGAAGGGTATGAGGGGAATACAGATGGAAGGGTTCAGTTTTGGATACGACATCTGAAAACGAACCTGATCACATGGTCACATAGTTACACGGTCTCATAGTCATATAGTTTTATAGTCATACAGTCACATGGTCACAGTGTCACACGATGATATTTAGAAAATATTATTGACATATATTATTTTATTTTGTAGCACACGGAAGAGATGATGTATGAACTCCACATCTGCATTATAAAGCAACACGTGACCTACATAGGATGCGACTATTTGACTTGTGATACTATGTTCATAGAGCTGATCAACGCATGAGTAGAATCGGAAGACATGACAACAAATATTTCAGAAGACGAAAGTGTAAATTTTTAATTTATTTCACTAAATTTATTTTGTTTATTTTGTTTTGAACCATAACTATGATATGTTTTTCGTTATTTGGCAGTAGACTAAATTATGAACTCTTATATTTAGTTTTCTGTTTATTAGAAATCTGAATTTATTTATGTTTTATGTAAAATATGGGTCTAAATTATTGTATAAAAAATTTTAAACTTAAATTGATGGAGAAAAAAATATAAGGTTAAAATAAAATTACGTTTTTTTCAATTATGAAATGAGTTAAATTGTCAAAGTAGTCTCCACAAGAAATCTAGGTTGAATTGCCAAAGTGGTCCACACAATGGAATAAGAGAAAAATTATGGGTCTCACATCTCATTTCGGTCACAATGAGTCACAGTCGATCACAACCGATCAAAATAGATCCCATATTATAAAAAAAATCTGAACTACTTAATGTTTTTTATAGAAAATTATAGGTTTAAAATGTTGTAGGTGAAAATTTGGGGTTAAAATTTGTGAAGAAAAAAATTGGGGTTTAAATTTGGAAGGAAGAAAATTTGGAGCTAAAATTTGGATGAGAAAAATTTGGGGTTAAAATTGATATTGAAAAATTTTGGGAGGGAAAAAAGTTAGGGTAAAAATTTGGGAGGGAAAAAACTTGGGGTTAAAATTTGGGAGGAAAAAATTATAGGGTTAATGAGGGGTTGAATATTCAAACTGGGCCCCACGAAACACAAAAATCTGAAAAAAAATTCTGACTAGTTCTTCGTGTGGACCCCACAACACTTTTTGGTCACAATGGGTCACAGTCGGTCACATCCGGTCACAACCTTCGATCCATGCGATTTTTGTCAATTTAATCGATCAACAACGTCACATATCTCTCATAAGTCTATTTTATATTGTTTTGAACATTAAAATATGGTTTTTGCGATTTTTTGGTTTCAAAGTTGCTATTTCAAATGTGTTCCTATATGTTTCATAATGTTTTATGAGTATTTTTGACAAATTTGGTATATTTCTTCAACAATCCCCTTAAAATATTTTGAAATTCTCTCTCACACAATATATATTTGATATATAGACTCTAATAAACCACTCCGAAGCTTTAAAATTAAATTTTGGCCTATATTTATCAACACATTTCGGTCACGGGTCACAGTCGGTCACAGTGGTCACATAGTGTAAAATTGCACTTCGGTCACATGGTCACATGCCGGTCACAATGGGTCACAACGTTGGCTCGTGTGAGTTCCACACAATGGAATAAGAGAAAAATTATGGGTCCCACATCTCATTTCGGTCACAATGAGTCACAGTCGATCACAACCGATCAAAATAGATCCCATATTATAAAAAAAATCTAAATATGGGATCTATTTTGATCGGTTGTGATCGACTGTGACTCATTGTGACCGAAATGAGATGTGGGACCCATAATTTTTCTCTTATTCCATTGTGTGGACCACTTTGGCAATTCAACCTAGATTTCTTGTGGAGACTACTTTGACAATTTAACTCATTTCATAATTGAAAAAAACGTAATTTTATTTTAACCTTATATTTTTTTTCTCCATCAATTTAAGTTTAAAATTTTTTATACAATAATTTAGACCCATATTTTACATAAAACATAAATAAATTCAGATTTCTAATAAACAGAAAACTAAATATAAGAGTTCATAATTTAGTCTACTGCCAAATAACGAAAAACATATCATAGTTATGGTTCAAAACAAAATAAACAAAATAAATTTAGTGAAATAAATTAAAAATTTACACTTTCGTCTTCTGAAATATTTGTTGTCATGTCTTCCGATTCTACTCATGCGTTGATCAGCTCTATGAACATAGTATCACAAGTCAAATAGTCGCATCCTATGTAGGTCACGTGTTGCTTTATAATGCAGATGTGGAGTTCATACATCATCTCTTCCGTGTGCTACAAAATAAAATAATATATGTCAATAATATTTTCTAAATATCATCGTGTGACACTGTGACCATGTGACTGTATGACTATAAAACTATATGACTATGAGACCGTGTAACTATGTGACCATGTGATCAGGTTCGTTTTCAGATGTCGTATCCAAAACTGAACCCTTCCATCTGTATTCCCCTCATACCCTTCCAAATAAAAAAGAAGTGTTTCTTCACCCCTTTCTATATGCAATATAGTCAATCGAAATCGTGTGACCTTGTGACCATGTGACCTTGTGACCTTGTGACCTTGTGACCATGTGACCATGTGACTATGTGATCATGTAACCATGTGACCATGTGACTCGTGACTATTGTATATTGTGATATAGGCGTACCTATATGACCCTGTGATCCTGTGAACTTTGTAACTGTGACCGTGTGACATTGTGACCATGTGACCTTGTGATCATGTGACCATGTGACTTTGTGATCATGTGATCATGTGACCTTGTGACCATGTGACCATGTGACCCGTGACTATTGTATATTGTGATATAGGCGTACCTATATGATCTTGTGATACTGTGACCGTAATTCGACCTATATGACTGTCTTATTTGACCGAAACACAACCATTTCACTCAATTTGATCCATAAACCCGCAAACCAACATTCTATTTTGAAATCCCCAAATTTTAAAAAAATTCAAAACCCTAATGCTTTATCGTTCAAATCCCCGACCCACACTTCAACTCAACAAGAACACATCTCAAAATCAAACAAACTTGCAAATAAATTGAATTTTAATCTACCTTGTGTTCATCTAACTCCGTAATCTCCATAAGGTTCCTATTTTTGCTCGAAAAATGTGACGAAGATGAACATGAACTTGTCATTTCTTCGATGTCGTCATTGCTTCTTCTATCTCCTCAATTTTTGGTGGCTAAATAAAATTTGAAAAGCCCAAAACCCAAAATTTCTATCGATCAAATTCCAAAACCACACTTCAACTCAACAACAACAAATTTCAAAATCCAACAAATCTAAAAGAAATTGAAGTTTATAACCTACCATGTTTTTGTCTAACCTTGCAATTTAAAATTTGAAAAGCCCAAAACCCAAAATTTCTATCGATCAAATTCCAAAACCACACTTCAACTCAACAACAACAAATTTCAAAATCCAACAAATCTAAAAGAAATTGAAGTTTATAACCTACCATGTTTTTGTCTAACCTTGCAATTTCCATGCGGTTTTCACGCAAACCAACATTCTATTTTGAAATCCCCAAATTTTAAAAAAATTCAAAACCCTAATGCTTTATCGTTCAAATCCCCGACCCACACTTCAACTCAACAAGAACACATCTCAAAATCAAACAAACTTGCAAATAAATTGAATTTTAATCTACCTTGTGTTCATCTAACTCCGTAATCTCCATAAGGTTCCTATTTTTACTCGAAAAATGTGACGAAGATGAACATGAACTTGTCATTTCTTCGATGTCGTCATTGCTTCTTCTATCTCCTCAATTTTTGGTGGCTAAATAAAATTTGAAAAGCCCAAAACCCAAAATTTCTATCGATCAAATTCCAAAACCACACTTCAACTCAACAACAACAAATTTCAAAATCCAACAAATCTAAAAGAAATTGAAGTTTATAACCTACCATGTTTTTGTCTAACCTTGCAATTTCCATGCGGTTTTCATTTCTTCTTCGAATCTTGAATCTAACCGGAGATTTAAATAGAAAATAGAACAAAATGCAAAAGATTATAAGTTTTGAAAGAGAGAGAACTAAAACCGTGAGAGTTAGGAGAGAGAGAAGAAAAAGATTTATAAAGAGAGAGAAAGTGGAAGAAGAATAAAATTAGGAGAGAGAGAGGAGAATAAAAGTAAAGTTACGTGACTTTAATTTTTTTTTAATTTTGAATTTTTTAAATTGAAAAAAATAGAGGGTTTTTTGTCTTTTCATTAATATATGAGGATTTTATTGTCTTTTGCCATAGTGCATAGTGTTTTTTGTTTAATTTTTTGTTTGGAGGGTAGTATGAGAAGTCCAAATAGCAGTCAAAGGGTATTGCAGCTATTTCCCCTATATTTGTATCTCTTGTGCGACTCTCTCTCTCTCTCTCTTCCATCTTCGATTTTGTTCGTTTGAATTGCACAAGAAAGATTCATCTTTTCATTTTCAGAGAGATGCAATAACGAAAACGGCGACGTTGCTGTCGATTTCTACCATCGTTACAAAGTACGAGTTTATCTAAATAGATATATCTTTTCATTACTATTGCGATGATTTCGAAGTCTTTTCAATGCTTTTAATATGTTGCAGGAAGATATACAGTTGATGAAAAAGATGAACACTGATGGGTTTAGATTCTCCATTGCATGGCCAAGAATATTTCCCCGTACGTATATTCTTCGAATGTATTTGACGGCCATTATGGATGTGAATTTATATGCTTTTATCATTTCTGTGGAGTTATCTTATATCATCATTTGAGATATATATGTATGTTTAATATTGGTATGTGTGTATATATATAATCAGATGGGAGGATGGAGAAAGGAGTGAGCAAAGCTGGGATTAAATTCTACCACGACCTCATCGACGAGCTCCTAGCCAATGGTCACATCTTCTCTATCTTAAATACATCATACATAAACTCACACACACACATATATACACGATCTTATATACATTGTGATGTATATATATATAATAGACTAACTCCATGAACGTTATAATTCCATTGTCTAGGCCAAACGCCGTTAGTGACAGTGTTTCATTGGGACATCCCCCAAGATTTGGAGGACGAGTACGGCGGCTTTTTAAGCGAGCTCGTCGTGTAAGTACTCATCATATCACACACACACATACGCATATATATATATATATATATATGCCAATATATACATTTATCGTTGTGTTAATGTTAAACTCATCATATATCAGGAAGGATTTCGTGGAATATGCGAATTTTACGTTCCATGAATACGGAGACAAAGTGAAGAACTGGATTACATTCAACGAGCCGTGGGTATTCAGCCGTGCGGGCTACGACATCGGAAAGAAAGCACCTGGACGTTGTTCTAAGTACATCAAAGAGGAATGCCAAGACGGAAGATCAGGATACGAAGCTTACTTGGTCAGCCACAATTTGCTTATTGCCCATGCAGAAGCAGTGGATGCGTTTAGAAAGTGCGAGAAGGTAAAAAAAAAAAAAAAAAACTATATATTATAGGATCAGTGCATCATTTTTATGTATTTCAATGAATTTGATTGATGAAATATGGAATTTTCTTGGTGGGTTTGACTGAATGAATGGTTATAGTGCAAAGGTGGTAAAATTGGAATTGCGCATTCCCCGGCTTGGTTCGAACCAGACGATCTCAAGGGAGCACACCCTGATGCCACCGTTGACCGAATCCTTGACTTTATCCTGGGATGGTAAACATATACATATATATATATATATGCACTATTCAACTTTAAAAGTACTGAAAATTTACATATTATTTATAGGGTAAAATCTCATAAAAATGCTCAACTTGTCAACCACTAATTACTGAACTTTTTGTTTGACTAATAAATTAATCAATTTGTTTACCAAAAAAAAATTAATCAATTTAATGGACGGTACTGCAACCATCACATCATATGCCACGTCACTTTTGTCATGTCAGTAATTTTTCCCCCATAAAAAGGAAAATTTTAAAAACAAATTACACCTATATACACATATATACACACATATATGGAATTCGATCCAGCAAATTCAGGAATTAGTTTTTTAGTGTTTGACGAGCTGAGAAACGTCTTTAGGAATTTACCCTTGTACGTATTATTTGGTTTGAGTTTTTCATTTTATCGTATTAAAAGTTTTGTTCTTTTATAAATTTTGAAAATTAATAAAAATGAAAAACATTTCCGAAAACATATTCAAAGTTTCGGGAGGGTTTGCAAGTGTTGTCGGATGGAATTCGATGCAGGCATCTCGCTCCGACAACATACGGAGACTACCCTCAAAGAATGAAAGATCTCGTCGGGTTTAGACTACCGAAATTCACCGAAGATCAGAAGAAGAAACTCAGAAATTCCACCGATTTTGTTGGAATCAATTACTATACCGGTTTCTTCTCTACGGACCATGAGAATTATGATCCTGCAAAACCAAGTTGGCAGGTTGATTAAACAAAAGTGGAGAGATTCACGAACAAATGGATTCTCGGACTAATGATAGCCGGCAAAGAAAATTAGGGTTCAAAGGAAAAGTTGTTTGAAAGAATGAATTATACTTTATTCTCCTTAATTCAAAGATACACCGCATGATCTACATATATACACGTGTTAGAGTTATACATAAAAGGAATAGAAGGCAACGTCTAAATATATATATGGAAACACAATATCTTGTATTGCAAGGAAGGAAACATAGTCAATATATGGCTTATTCTTCTCCCGCATGTTGCACTCGAGTAACTTCAGCTCCTTTTGCGTCATCATCGGCTCCATGTCCGTCAACATTCCCCCTCAAGATTGGCCGGTTGAACTCAACTAGGCCAATCTTGGAGAGAATTCGATTAAGCGTAAACGAACTTGTAGCCTTGGTTAGGATATCCGCGAGTTGGTCTTGACTTCGAGTATATATTGTAGTGATGAGTCCTTGAGAGATTTTTTCCCGGATGAAGTGACAATCTACCTCAATGTGCTTTGTCCGTTCATGAAAAACGGAGTTAGCCGCAATGTGTATGGCTGCTTGGTTATCACAATGCATCGGGGTTGACCGCTCAACTTTGACTCCTAGATCCTTTAGTAGTTGACGTAACCAAAGTATCTCACTTGTTGTATTGGCCATGGCTCGATATTCGGCTTCCGCGCTTGACCGTGCTACCACCGTTTGCTTTTTGCTCTTCCATGTGACCAAGTTTCCTCCCACGAATGTGCAATATCCGCTAGTTGATCTTCGGTCCATCCTATCGCCGGCCCAATCTGCGTCACAATATGCTACAAGCTCTGTATGTTTGTTGTTTGCCATCCAAATTCCTTTGTTCGGTGTTCCCTTCAAGTATTTGAGTATGCGATCCACCATATGCCAATGGGTTGTCGTCGGGGAGTGCATCCATTGGCTAACCTGATGCACAGCAAAACTTATATCAGGACGAGTAATAGTAAGGTATATGAGCTTACCTACAACGCGACGATATTGTGCTGGATCTTCAAGACATTCCCCCTCGCGTTGATCCTTGAAGTTTTCTTCAATTGGAGTGCGAACCGGTTTAGCACCCGATTTTCCGGTTTCCTGCAATAAATCGAGAATATACTTCCTTTGTGAAAGGAATAAAGCGTTAGTGATACGTGTTACTTCGATCCCAAGGAAGTACTTAAGGTTTCCAAGGTCCTTAATGTCGAACACGCGTTGCAAATAGGTTTTAGTCTCCTGAATACCGCGCGAGTTATTGCCTGAAAGGATTATGTCATCAACATATACCAAAAGAACTACAATCCCATCCGAACTATGAAGAGTGAAGAGAGAATGGTCTGAGTCACTCCGAGTAAAACCACGAGTAACTAGAGCCGATGATAACTTATGATACCAAGCACGGGGAGATTGTTTCAAACCGTATATTGCTTTCCGTAATTTACAAACTTGGCCAGGAAGTAATGAACGAGCAAATCCCGGGGGTGGAGTCATGAAGATATCCTCCTCGAGATCGCCTTGAAGAAAGGCATTCTTGACGTCCATCTGCCATAAACACCAATCCAAATTAATAGCTAAAGATAAAAGAACTCTAACAGTAGGCAACTTAGCGACAGGGGCGAAGGTATCCGTGTAATCTTCGCCATAAGTTTGAGTGAACCCCTTCGCCACCAAGCGAGCTTTGTGTCGTTCAATAGTCCCGTCGCTCCGGTATTTGATCTTGTAGACCCACTTGCACCCGACAACATGTTTGTCTTTCGGAGGATAAACAAGGTCCCAAGTCCCGTTGCGTTCCAAGGCAGTGAGCTCGTCCGCCATTGCTTGTTGCCAAACCGGACTATCCTTAGCATGTTCGTAAGTAGACGGTTCAACACCCTGCGTGATAGTACTCAAAAAACACTGAGCATCATCGGGAAAGTTAGATAAAGAAGCATAAGCATATGACTGAAGGTAAGATGGAGGACGTCGTGACCGAGACCGTCGGGTGGAGCAACAACACCGACGTGAGGGTCAATGTCTTCTGCCGGAAGAACAGGTTCCCCCTGAGCATCAGGAACAAGACCGATGAAAGGGACATCAATAGCATCGAGAGGCAATTGTTCCTCTTGTGTTGAAGCTGTTTCGTTCGAATCGACAGCTGCCGGTGTCGGAGACAGAGGAAGACCTACATCGGGAAGAGAAACAGAAACAGGAGAAAGACAAAGAGATGGAGAAGACAACGTGGGAACCTGGGGATCAACTAAAGAGGCGTTGGCAGGCTCTGATTGAAGAGAGGTGGAAGGAGAGTGGAGATTGGCAGCTGTCACACGAAGAGATGAAAGCAAGTGCTTTAAAGAAGTGTTATAGTCAATGCCTTGTTTGTCAAGCAACTCCAAGTCTGTCCATGCCGTGTCACTAAAATAGTCAACCCCTTCGATGAACCGAACATCCCGAGAGGTGTATGTTCTTTTCGTTGGAGGATGATAACAAAGATATCCCTTTTGATTAGGAGGATAACCGAGAAATATACACCGAATGCTCCGATGGTCAAGTTTATCACGTTGACCTGCATCAACATAGACAAAACATACACAACCAAAAATACGAAGATGCTCAATCGAATCCTTACGAGCAAAAAGAACCTCAAAAGGAGATTGATCATGAAGCACTTGTGTCGGGAGTCGGTTGATAAGATAACATGCGGTTTGGACCGCATAGCTCCAATAAGTCTTGGGAACATGGCGATGAAAGAGTAAAGCTCGGGCGACTTCCATCAAGTGACGATTTTTGCGTTTGGCGACCCCGTTTTGTTGCGGAGTATGAGGACATGATCTTTGATGAACTATACCGTGTTGAAGAAGAAATGAACGGAATTTGGAGCCCGTATATTCTCCGCCGTTGTCTGTTCTTAAACATTTGATTTTAGTGCCAAACTGGTTAGTAACATAAGCACAAAAATATTGAAAGGCATCAAACGCATCACTCTTACGTTTTAAGAGGGTAATCCAAGTATGTTTCGTTTTCTCATCAATAAACGTAATAAAATATTTATAATTATCAATGGAAAAACAAGGAGCGGTCCAAATATCAGAGTGAACCAAATCAAACGCGTTCGCATAAATAGTTTTAGAATCCGGAAAGACAGGACGGCAATGTTTGCCAAGGGTACACGCCTCACAAAACCGAGCATCATTTTTAACCTCGGGTACAAGTAAATGAAGAGCTTTGTGATGTGGGTGACCTAGTCTAGCATGCCACATATCGGAAGAAACTGAAACAAAGCATGAATGAAAATCTTCAAGGAAAAAAAGGTTGCCCCTCCTTATCCCTTGACCAAAGATGCGATCCGTCTTAGTATCCTGAAATAGAACACGGTTAGTCTCAAAGATAACAATGCAATCGGTTTCTTCAAGAAGCTTAGGAAGTGATAATAAATTAGTTTGAAATTCGGGTACATAAAGAGCAGATAGTTCTCGATCAAAAAGCTTGATTTTGCCGTGGCCTTTAACCGGGACAGATTTTCCGTTAGCAACGGAAACAAATCCAAAACCCCGAGAAATGCTGTCAAACCAAGAGGCATCACAAAACATATGCAAAGTAGCACCGGAATCAATGATAATAGAGGAGATTTTAGAAGCGTTACCGGACTCTTTGGTGTTCAAGGCTAAGAGAAGTTGCTTGAACCCTTTGAGCTCATCATTGGTGAAAGCGATGACGTTCTCGGAAGAAGAAGACACATGCTCAGCCGTCATCGCTACCCCACGTTTCGGTTGGTCTTTAAATCGAGATGGCTTAAGGTGGAGATGGAGAAGCCAACACCTCTCCTTTGAATGCCCAGCCCGCTGACAGTGGTCGCAGAAGTAAGTCTTTTTTCCTTTCGGTGCAGATGGAGCCGGGGACGATCGCTGAGCAAAGTGAGCAAGAGCACTCGGACCTGTGAACAGATTTCGGCCTCCTTCTTCGCGTTTGATCATCATACAAACTTCATCGAAAGAAGGTAAAGTAGCTTGGCGCAGCATATGATACACAAGGTCATTGAAAGAAGCATCAAGGGTTAAAAGGAGAGAAAACACCTTGTCTTCCTGTGTTCGGCTCAAGGATTCTTTTAGATCCGTCGTTGGCGGTCGTATTTCTTCAAGCTCTGTCCAGAGAGCACAAAAATCACCTTGAATTTTGTTAAATGATTGGCCATTCTGCTGTAACTGAAAGAGTTTCTTTTTGATCTCGAAGATGCGGCTAATGTTGGATAGGTTGCCGTAAATATTCTTAAGAGCGTCCCACAGCGCCTTGGCGGAATCCAACGCAATGAAAGACTGTAAGACAGTCTCATCGAGAGAGGATTGGAGAATCACCAAAGCCTTTTGGTCAGCTTGGTATCGTTTAGCCTTTTCTTCGGCATCTGCATCAGCCTGAGATTGAGCAACACGTACAACAGACACATCCTCGTCAGCGGCCACTTCCAGTGGAGAGGATTGCTTCGCGACAGCTTCAGCGGTAACATATTCCCATAGGCCGTTGCTGCTAAGGACCGCTTTGGCGGCCTTTGACCAGTAAAAATAGTTGTCCCCATGGAGAATAATCGGGATGATTTTGGTATGGTTGTCCATGTCGAAAAGAAGACAGGAGAAGTAAAAAAAATGATGTTTGCGTAAACAGACAATCAATAGAGAGCAAAGAGAACAAAAGGAGACGAGAACGATCAGCGTGTATGCGGACCGTCTTGCTCTGATACCATAAACAAAAGTGGAGAGATTCACGAACAAATGGATTCTCGGACTAATGATAGCCGGCAAAGAAAATTAGGGTTCAAAGGAAAAGTTGTTTGAAAGAATGAATTATACTTTATTCTCCTTAATTCAAAGATACACCGCATGATCTACATATATACACGTGTTAGAGTTATACAGAAAAGGAATAGAAGGCAACGTCTAAATATATATATGGAAACACAATATCTTGTATTGCAAGGAAGGAAACATAGTCAATATATGGCTTATTCTTCTCCCGCATGTTGCACTCGAGTAACTTCAGCTCCTTTTGCGTCATCATCGGCTCCATGTCCGTCAACGTTAATTCCGTTCTTTTCTATTTATCTTATTTTATTTCCGCATTTTATTTTTCTACATGGTATCAGAGCCTGGTTCGATCTACTCTATATCTTTTTTTTCTCAATCTCTTCTTTTTTTTTAAGTTTTTGGATATTCATATATCCAAAATCGTTCAAATAGGAGTAAAAATCCCAAAATCAAACGAGGTGCTGTGACAAAAAGAAGTCAAACCTAAAAACTCTAAGATCAAGCGAGGTGCTATGACAAAAAGAGTTAAAGGTAGAACTTCAAAGTCAAGCGAAGTGATTTGAACATGGGTAATATTCTCTAAAAGAACTAAATTTTGTGTTTATGAATTTTTCAAAAGACAATGAAAATGTCTATGGATTTTTATCGCATTATCTTTTCAAGATTGATTTTTGCATTCTTTCAAAATCAATCTTGAGGGAGAATGTTAAAGTAGAAAAATGAATATGTGATTGGAGGAACACAATATTATGTTAAATATTGTTAATCATATTTATTTCCGTTATATCTATATTTCCTTTTATTTCATTTGTTAATTTTTCTATAAATATGTGAGTTATTTTCATTGTAATGGAACAAGAAGAAGAAGAGATGTAGCAATAAAAGTAATTCTGTTCTTTTCTATTTATCTTATTTTATTTCCGTATTTTATTTTTCTACAGATTCTCTCGTCGATTTCGAACGTAAGTTTCGTTACAAAAATTTTGGAACTAATGAACAATATATATATATATATATATATGTATATATGATTAAGGTATCTTTTATTTATTTTTTGGGTCCTTTTATATTGTTTTTCCACAGCTAAGGGTTTGGACGGTAGTACAAGCATTGGCAGCACGGTATGCAACTTTTCCTGAATTCATATACTTATTTTTATTGAAAAAAAATACATGAACTTGTCGATTTTAATAAAATAAAACCTTAAGTTTTTTTGTCAAATAAAACCTCAATTTAATTTTTAAATTATAAATAAATCTAAACTTTATAACATTCATAATTTTTAAATCTATCACTGATTTAGTATATTTATATCAACACATGTCGATAATAACGTGACAAATATGGTTAAAATGTGAACTTATTACGTAGGGTACGGTACATGCATGTCAACATTAAAATTTAAAAATAACAATGATTATAAAATTTAAATTTATTTTCGACTGAAAAACAAAATTGTGATTTTATTTGATAAAAAAATAAAGTCTAAATTTTGTTTTGTAAAAATTGAGAAATTCAGTTACTTTTTTTTTTATTTTCCCTTTTTATTACTAAGTAACTTAGTTCTTCTGGTTTTGTTAATATATATTTTCTCTATCTTATTTTTATTTTTGTTCTCTTCAATTTATGTTTTAGCCTTCTACTTCGAAAATGGCGGTATACGCAAAAGGTTTCAGAAAGCTTTTGAAATACGTAAAGGACAATTATGGCAACCCGGAAATTATGGTCACGGAAAATGGTGAGTTTAATTATTATTTCATTAACAATAGACATCGATTTTTTTTTTGTTCTTCATGATGGTATATATGATTTGTTTAATTTCTAGGGTATGGAGAGGATCTTGGCGACCAACACCACAACGTCGAGGTTGGAACCGCTGATTACAACAGAAGATATTATCATCAAAGGCATCTCTTGAGCCTCCACGAAGCCATTTGGTGAGTTCCCTTTGCATAAACATATACATAATACACATACATATACATATACATATATATACACATACATATATTTCATACATACATACATACACATACACACTCCTATACATATACATATACATATATACATATATGTTTGTCTAGTCGATATCGAGTTTTATATATATGGCTGTATACGTTTTGGTAGTGAGGATAAGGTGAATATTACGGGGTATTTCGTGTGGACATTTATGGACAACTTCGAGTGGCAAGACGGATACACGACGAGGTTCGGTCTCTACTTCGTAGACTACAAGAACAATCTGACTCGACATCTAAAGGAATCGGGCAAATGGTACGCTAACTTCCTCAAGCAAGCTTTACCAACCAAGAATTCAGATCTGTGAGCGTGAAAGAGAGATTTGAGGGTTTTTCACTCTTCGAACCCTAAATAACAAAAAACCCTAATGTTGTCTTTTTCTGGTGGAAGTTTTCCTTTCGATGTTATTCCGTGTATGGAGATTCACAGGGCATGACCCTTAATTATGAGCCCTTACAGTTTATGTTATTATAATAAATGTTCGCCTTTCATTTAAATTTTTTGTATGCTCAAACTCTATATATATCGCCGGATGTTTGAGTTGGAATCTCGGAAATAGACGGTCAAATTGGATCTTGGTAATAGACGGTTCAACTTCAGATCAAACATTTTGCCGGATGGGATGGTAGTTTATGTTATGATAATAAACGTTCTCCTTTCATATAAATTTATGATCTGCTGAAACCATATAATATATATAATGGGTAATAATATATTTAATATGCAATTATATATATATGTGTTTAATTTTATATTTTTATTAGAAGATGAATCACAATTTCGATTCCGTCTCAACCAGACTTTTTAAGATTATTTAGGATATTTATTTCAATAATTTTGACAGTTATTAGAAGAGTCAGCCTGATAACAATTTCAAAATAAGAGGAAGTTGATTCTCACCCAAATATATAATAAATAAAATATTCCCTTACCGCTATATTATTTATATAAATCAACTGATATAAATTTTTTTTTTAACAAAATATTATAAAGAAAATGATATTATACCCTCTAATAATAAAATTGTTGGAAAGTGGGGGAAAGGTTTTGAAGGTCGTGAAGAATGGTAACTATTTTGAGTTTTCATTCGGATTGGATATATGAATTTAGAAAATTATAATCATTCGATTTGAACTCATTTTTATTTCGATCTCTATTTTCATTCAAATTGAATACGATTTTTATTGATAAAAATATTTATTTTAAAAAATAAATTTTTTTATATTCGATTCCAATTCAATTTTTTAATTATAAAAATTATATCCATTCCATTATTATAACCGGATTGGTCCGTCGGTGAGTAAAACAAAATCTTTGAGCAAATATTTGTGGCCCGTGGGAGAGAATTCATGATACCTCTTAAGAAATTGATGACAAAAATGTATTTAATCGGGACATTTATTTTGTACTTCATAAATGAAAAAGTCAATGGCACATCAAAATCTTGAAATACCTCGGAAACTCGTTCATCGTGAAACATGAGGTAGCTGTATGTTTCAACTGTATTATTAAAACATGTATTTTCTGGTTATATCATAATATATATAATATTTTTCCACCTTTACGTCTTTAATTGAAAAGAAGTTTCTAATTGATGATGGGTTTATCTTTACTTTAGTATTTATTGATTTTATTATTGTAACGAATATAAAGACGGTTATCAATCTAATAGATAAATATTGACATATTTTTGAGAGATCACCGTTAGAATCGGGTAAAATATCATATTTTGAGATATTCGAATTGTGTGGATATAAAAATATCCTATTTCTAAATTTAGATTCGCGGTTAGATAACTAATGTGTTTGACATTATGATTGTTATGATAAAATTCATATTTTTTTTCTCTCTAGGTTTATTCATAGTGGTTTTGAGTTGGATTCCTCTTATTATTTGCTCCTATGTAATCGTCGGTTTTCATCATTTGGTGTGTGTGTATATATATATATATATATATTATCATGATAGCTCTACAGAAAAATTAAGTGAATGTAAAGGACAATTCTCCTTTAACCATATTTTTCCATCCTCTCTTTTTCACCATTTTTTCTTTATTTTTTACTTTTCAATTTATACTCAAACCCATCTAAATTTACACAGAACCCACACATAGTTCATAAGTGGATTTTGAACTCTAAAACTTGAATAATTCAATTCCAAAATAAAAAAATCAGTTATTTGTAATTTTCGGATATTTTACATGTGTTAAGCCATAATAAACAAAACGTCTCACCTAACCTAAGCGTGCGAGCATTAAAGTCTAGAAGTGAAGTGATCTACGCTCCACGTGTTCATTATATATAATATACATATATATAATGTAGAAGTTCTTGTACGTAGTGGACCGTTAATATTGATAAAAAGGATTGTTTTCAACTCAACGAGTGGTTATCTATTATTTCTCCGATCAGTGAGATGTTAATTACATATATCTTTGGGTAAAACCCCTAAAAAACCTCTAACTTGCAAAAATATATATAAATAAATCTTAAATTTGATAAACTATCATTCAATCCCCGAATTTGTAACTTGTCACTGAATAAAACCTCGAACTTGTAAATTATTGCTCTAATAAACCTTTGACCGGTTTGACCATAATTTCAGGACTGAATAAAACCTCGAACTTGTAAATTATTGCTCTAATAAACCTTTGACCGGTTTGACCATAATTTCAGGCGATCGGAAATCTACGTATTAACGGATTGTTGATGTCACCTTATACATGTTATCAATTTTAGTTTAAAAAATGACATAAACAATCCGTCAATACGTGGATTTCCGATCGTTTGAAATTGTGGTCAAACCGGTCAAAGGTTTATTAGAACAATAATTTGCAAGTTCGAGGTTTTATTCAGTGACAAGTTACAAGTTCGGGGATTGAATGATAGTTTTTCAAGTTGAAGGTTTATTTATATATATTTTTGCAAATTGGAGGTTTTTTAGGGGTTTAACCCTGTATCTTTTGTAAAATTCAGACGTTGGTTTATGTATTTTAAGGGCTGGTTTCATCATTATGTCGGTTTGTACACGAACATTTTTTATATTTAATATATTTACCGTTATAAAAAAAAAAGAAGAAAGGATTGTTTTCACTAGATCTCGACGCAATCCCAAAGTAAAATAATATCAACCTCGAAAGGAAAAAAATATATAACAGTACTAATAAGAGTGATAAATTTCTAGATAACCGTCCATTTTTTTTTCATAATAGTTATTTTGCCTTCAACTATACACATAGGAATAAAGACGGACAAAATTCTGAATATTCCAATTATATGAGGCGGATTTGGATAATATATACAAATTGGATAGAAGTTCAGATATTTTATTACTCAAAGCATATCTTTTATTTGTTGAAAATTACGAGATTATCATCAATGTGTTTTTGTAAAAAAGTTATGAAATTAGAAATTACAAAAAAATTTATAATATTATTTTTATTTTTTTTATAAAATTAAACTCATGAATATAAAATAAAATTGTAAATTTAATATCCAAAATTTTTGTATATACATTCGGCCATCCTTCATGAGAACTAATGAGTCACTCTAGTTTCACACCATTAAAACAAAAAAACGTACACGAGCAAAATAAAATAATAAAAAAAACGTGTTTTAAGGAGGAAAAAAATAGCCACTTTTTTAGTTGGCAAGGAAATGGTATCTTTCCTTTACCTTATAGCCTCCTTATTTTAAGAGTGGTTTTCACAGCCATTGACGGTCTCTTCAACCTTTCAAGTTGCAGTATCTGCAAAAACAATCGCCATGGGAAGCAAGTTTCTTGTTGTGTGTCTGTTTCTGTCTCTTGTTATTGCAAGCTTCGCCGAGGTTTCTTGTCAGGTGACAGACACTTCCTTTTCTTTTCTTTTTTGTTAGCGAGCTGACAACACTTTCTTCATCTAACATTACGACATCGAAATTTGAGATTCATTTTTCGATTGTTTTTTCATATTTAGTATGAAGCGGGTCGAAATGAAGGAAGCAGAGGTTCGAGTATGTTGGAACTGATAGAGCATGAGCACCAAGGTAAGTCAAAGCAACGAATTCTACGTGCTCGTTCTCAATATGCCCTTCGTTCTCGTGGTAAAGTCCCCTTTGATCCTTCAGACTTAACACTTGTTGGAAAAGTTCGTAAGGGAGATGACAGATTTTAGATTGACTGTTTTCGGTTATGGTATTCAAATGACTATGACTATTTTGATATCTCTCAGATTTTTATTTGGACTTTGTACCGTGAAATCTGCTATGGGTATTTAGGGATGTTACCATATGGATTTTTTTTATTGTAAAAACATTTATATTTATAAGATTTACCGTTACAAAAAAAACTAAGTCAGTATATTGTTTGATGAATGATCTTGTTTCCAATAATTTTGGAAGAACACAAATTCCTGAAAATACCCAGATTCTTGATCCTCTCGGACATCGGCAAAACCCTAATTAAAAGTTATAAGTTTATTTTTCTTCTTTCTCATCTTTTACTTGCAGCCACCAAGCAACTAAAGATTGATGATTTCACCGGAGGCAAGGATGATGAAGAACTATGTAATACTTATCCCATCTTTTTTTTTCTGATCTAATTTTTTTTCCTGCAGTAGTCTGAGGTTGTCGTTTTTCTAATGTATGGCTTGATGCAGCTGCAAAGAGACAAAGTATGTTAGAAGAGTTCGAACTTGAATATGAAGGTAACATCGAGATATCGTTAATGGACGTTCTTAATTGGTCCTAAATTTTTGGACAAAATCTTGATCCCTTCTTGTTGCCAGAAATTCTCTACTGAACCCAAACCATAAATATCAACAAGATCATTAATTATTTATGATTTTGTTTCTGTCTCCTTTCTCGTATCGTTCTTGTAGCTTCTGCAAAGCGTCTTGAACAACTTAAGTTCGATCTCGATGCGGGCAATGATGTTGAAGAACTATGTAAAGATCTTGTCCCCTCTTTTTCCCGATCCTTTTGTCTTTCTTACAGTCTTGTGATTCATTTTTTTTATAACGTTTTGTTACAGCGGCGATGAGAAAACTTATGTTGGAAGAGATTGAAAGTGAATATGAAGGTACCTTGAGATATCATTAACCTTTCTTATTTAGCTCTTGGATGAATGCAAATGGAAACAGAAAAGGGTGTTTTTATGTTTCTTGTTACAGCTGCAAAGAGACAGCTAATGTTGGGAGAGATCGAATGCGAATATGAAGGCTCGGGATATCAATCTATGTCTAGTTTCAGTTTCCCATGTTCCTGGAGAAAATCTTTGAACTGTTTGCTGATGCAAGAAAGTTCTTAGATGAATGAAAGATATCAAAACCATGTAACAAGAAGATCACTCATATACTATTTTGTTTCTCTGTCTTCTTCATTTTTCGCATGCAGCCGCTTCAAAGAATCTTCAACGACTAAGAGCTGGTTTCACCGAGAGTAAGGATGATGAAGAACTATGTAAAAATTTATATACCCTTTACTTTTCTATGATCCATGTTCTACCCAACAGTCTCCTGATGCATTTTATCCGATGTTTTATTACAGCTGCAAAGAGAAAAAACATGTTGGAAGAGATCGAACGTGAATATGAAGGTACCATATCAAGACATCTTTTTATCTGTGTTTCAGTCAGTTCCTGTCTTTTCGGAGAAAATCTTGAACCATTCTTGTTGATCTCATAGTAATTTTTTTTTTTGGATAATTGGTGATGTCCGGTGGAATTCGAACCGTGGACGTGAGAAAGCACTTTGTGCTCCCACCCACTGGACCACCACTTCGGGACATCTCATAGTAAATTTGTTTCTAGAGAAAAAACACAAAACTTATCAATCCATTCTCGTTGCAAAATGCTTATAAGACAAAAAATCATAAGAGAACACTCAACTATATATAATAATTATATAAGAATTGTATTTTTTTTTTTCTCATCTTCCTTGCAGCCGCTGTAAGGGGCAGTAGACAAACAGCTCTTGGTGGTTTGAGCAAAGATTAAGACGAGGAAGAATGATCTTTATGAAGAACCGGTTATCAATACCGGTTATGGGGTGAATTTTCAGAATAATTGGTAATCGACTCGGTTTAGTTACCACTTCTTTGTGACAGACTCGAGTTCGTTTTAAAATCTCAGCTACTGAAAACACTTTGTATTGCATTTTGGAGTTTGAATCGAATAACACAGAAAAAACCGATTCAATGTTCTAATCTCTTTGATTTCATGGATATACTAAAATTTGTATAGCTATTATTATAAATAGGGAAAATGACATTTTCCTACTCGAACTGTTTAAAATGTGACTTTTTTCTACACGAACTTTTAATTTGACAAAAAACTACACCAAATTATCAAATGTGCCAAATTGATACACGAACTATCCAATTTAACTGCAATTTCCTACACAATCCGAATTGGATGTTAAATGTCCGTTAACTGATGACGTGGCATATCACGTGGCGTTTGACATGGCACGCCACATGGAAAATTTTGCCATGTCAGCATGTCACGTCAGATTTAAAAAAAATCAGAAAAAATATTTTTGCATTATAAAACCTTTGATTAGTTATAGTAATCATAATTACTAGGGAAAATGACATTTTCCTACGCGAATTGTTTAAAATGTGACTTTTTCCTACACGAACTTTTAATTTGACAAAAAACTACACCAAATTATCAAATGTGCCAAATTGATACACGAACTGCCCAATTTAACTGCAATTTCCTACACAACCCGAAAACGACGTTAAATGTCTGTTAGCCGATGATGTGGCACGCCACGTGGCATCTGACGTGGCACGTCACATGGAAAATTTTGCCACGTCACCGTGCCACGTCAGATTTTAAAAAAAAGATACAAAAAAATCTGAAAAAAAAAAATCGAAAATTTTTTAAAAAATATATATACTCCTATATAAAAATATATATACTCCTATATAAAATATATCTATATATATACAAATTACCACATACAAATACAAATATAAACATAAATACTCCTATGTATATATATATCTATATATATCAAATAAAAAATATACATATATATACATGCATTTATACCAATATATATATATACATACATACAAGTATATTTATATATATACATATACATATATATAAAACATATACACGTATATATGTATGTATATATATACATATGTATATATATATGTACATACATACAAAATAATATATATATATATCCACATACAAATACAAATATAAACATAAATACTCCTAGGTATATATATATACATAATAAAAAATATATAAGTATATATACATATATAGGAGTATGTATGTTTATATTTGTATTTGTATATAGATATGAATATATATGTATATATGTGTATTTTTTACTTTTTATTTTTATTTTATTTTTATTTTTTTGGTAATTTTTCGGATTTTTTTAAAAATCTGATGTGACATACTGACATGGCAAAATTTAACATGTGGCGTGTGCCATGTCAGATGCCACGTGGCATGCCACGTCATCGGTTAACGGATATTTAACACCGTTTTCGGATTGTGTAGGAAATTGCAGTTAAATTGGGTAGTTTGTGTATCAATTTGGCACATTTGATAATTTGGTGTAGTTTTTTGTCAAATTAAAAGTTCGTGTAGGAAAAATTCACATTTTAAACAATCCGTGTAGACAAATGTCATTTTTTCTTTATATTAAAACTATTTTATTTTAACTCTCTTAAAATAGTTATGTCTTATTAAAAACTATGATTTCATATTTTGTTTTTATCAATTAATCTTTTATGCTGTGGAATAGAAATCTCTAAAAATATATTTTTTATTTTTTCATTTCGGGCTCGTATATATTATATATCAAATATTCATATCAAGACTTAACGTTATATTCTAATTCGTAATGATCTGTGGACTAAGGATCATATGATAATTCGTTACAAAAATATTATTTTTATTGAACTAATATCAATAAACTTTACGTATTACTTACAATCTATATAAACAAATAGAGTAAACCAACGATAGAAAAACATCTTGAAATAGATAAGGAAAAACACAGGGTTTTTTTAACGGTAAAATTTTATATATGTAAGATATTTCTTACAAAAGAAAAGCTTTAAATAACCACCCTTAGTCTCAAAAGTTACATGAAAGTTCAATATCTAGAATAAGAGAAAAATCTCGCTTAAAGAGGTTCTAATTGATGAAACCAACAAACAGATGCTCGGAATGATGAAATCAAAAAGAAGCTTGACATGTAAGTGGTCCCTGAGGCAGCAGAATCCAATCAAAACATACATTTCTCATCATTCTCTACTTTGCATATGAGGAAAGGTCTAGGGGTTTGACGAATTTTGAGTAGTTTCTACCTATTTATTACTCGTATTATAAATAAAAATGAAGACATAGTTTATTTAATACTTCAATTGATACACATTTTAATATTTAAATTTTTTAAAATGTTACGTCCATTTTTCATATATTTTTTACCTCTGACGTGTAATATATAAGATGTCATGTTGGTAGATAATTAATAGAGATATTTGGATATTAAATGTGGCATCGAGGAGTTTTACAGTTTTTAGTTTTAATACAATTGTCATTTTACCCATTTTTTTTTAATATCAAACTAGTTGTTTATATAAATTATGAGGAAGGCGGGGTTATTTTTTAGTAAATTTTATTCTCTTATATAAAAATCAAAAAATTGTCAAGATAGGCAAATAATGATGTAATGGTAACATATTTTTTTCATTTTACACGATAAAGAAAATTGCTTCGGGTAAATGTGGGACTTCCTTCCAAACACCTTCGGCGAATTTTTGAGGCAACCATTTTCTTTGACAATATCAGCATGATATTTTTATCCCAAAATAAAGATACAAAGGCAGTGATAGAATCACAATGACCGGACAGATCTTGGAGGTGAAGCACGATCGGCGCCATTCCGATTAGTTTGGTACCAACACTCACTAACACAAGGAAGAACACATCCTGCGTTGGGTCTTTGCATACATCCGTTGAAACAATCTTCATAACATTCTCCAAATCCTGCAGAAGCTTGCCCTATCAACACACTCATCATCATCATCAACCCTACAATGGCTACCATTGATGTTTTGCCCTCCATTCCTTTTTTCTTTTTTCTTTTTTTCTTTTAAAAAATCTTAGTTTTTATTTATTTATTTTCACAAATGAGTCACGACAAGGGATATTTATATATGCATATGTGATTTGTCTTTCTTCCATGAATAGTAATACCTTTTTACAAGTTTAGCATTGTAAACAGCTGTTACAGGTATTTTGGTTCATTTTATTTCGGTTCTAGTTTTAGCCTGATTTTTTTGTTTTTTTCCAATACTTTGGCTTTTATTATTCTTCCAATTGTTTCTAACAACTTTGGAAATAATTGATTTAATTTATGTTGAATTACGTTTCTGTATTTCTCTACTTGCTATTGTTTTTTGTGCTGTTTATACTAAAATTATTTTATTTTAACTCTCTTAAAATAGTTATGTCTTATTCAATACTATGATTTCATATTTTGTTTTTATCAATTAATCTTTTATGCCGTGGAATAAAAATCTCTAAAAATTTATTTTTTATTTTTTCATTTCGGGCTCGTATATATTATATATCAAATATCCATATCAAGACTTAACGTTATATTCTAATTCGTAATGATCTGTGGACTAAGGGTCATATGATAATTCGTTACCAAAATATTATTTTTATTGAACTAATATAAAAAAAACTTTACGTATTACTTACAATCTATATAAACAAATAGAATAAACCAACGATAGAAAAACATCTTAAAATAGATAAGAAAAAACATAGGTTTTTTTTAAACGGTAAAATTTTATATATGTATGATATTTCTTACAAAAGAAAAGCTTTAAATAACTACCCTTTAGTCTCAAAAGTTACATAAAAGTTCAATACCTAGAATAAGAGAAAAGTCTCACTTAAAGAGGCTCTAATTGATGAAACCAACAAATAGAGACTCGAAATGATGATACCAAAAAGAACCTTGTCATGTGAGTGGTCCCTGAGGCAGCCAAGGATCCAACCAAAACATACATTTCTCACCATTCTCTAGTTCGCATATGAGGAAAGGTCTAGCGGTTTGGCGAATTTTGAGTAATTTGTGCCTATTTATTACTCGTATTATAAATAAAAATGAAGACATATTTTATTTTATTATGACGTGTAATATATAAGATATCATGTTGGTAGATAATTAATAGAGTTATTTGGATATTAAATGTTGCATCAAGGAGTTTTCCAGTTTTTAGTTTTAATACAATTCTTATTTAACAATTTTTTTTAGCATCAAACTACTTGTATTTATTCCTTATTTATATGAATTATGAGAAAGGTGAGATTATTTTTTAATCAGTTTTGTTCTCTTATATAAAAATAAAAAATTTTCAAGATTGGCAAATAATGATGTAATGATAACATTTTTTTCATTTTACATGATAAAGGAAATTGTTTCGGTTACAATGCTAAACTTGTAAAAAGGTATTACTATTCATGGAAGAAAGACAAATCACATATGCATATATAAATATCCCTTGTCGTGACTCATTTGTGAAAATAAATAAATAAAAACTAAGATTTTTTAAAAGAAAAAAAGAAATATGGGACGTCCTTCCAAACACCTTCGACGAATTTTTGAGGCAACCCTTTTCTTTGACAGTATCAGCATGATATTTTTATCCCAAATAAGATACAAAGGCAGTGATAGAATCACAATGACCGGACAGATCTTGGAGGTGAAGCACGATCGGCGCCATTCCGATTAGTTTGGTACCAACACTCACTAACACAAGGAAGAACACATCCTGCGTTGGGTCTTTGCATACATCCGTTGAAACAATCTTCATAACATTCTCCAAATCCTGCAGAAGCTTGCCCTATCAACACACTCATCATCATCATCAACCCTACAATAGCTATCATTGTTTTGCCCTCCATTCCTTTTTTCTTTTTTTTCTTTTAAAAAATCTTAGTTTTTATTTATTTATTTTCACAAATGAGTCACGACAAGGGATATTTATATATGCATATGTGATTTGTCTTTCTTCCATGAATAGTAATATCTTTTTACAAGTTTAGTATTATAAACAGCTGTTACAGGTATTTCGGTTCATTTTATTTCGGTTCTAGTTTTAGCCTGATTTTTTTGTTTTTTTCCAATACTTTGGCTTTTATTATTCTTCCAATTGTTTCTAACAACTTTGGAAATAATTGATTTAATTTATGTTGAATTACGTTTCTGTATTTCTCTACTTGCTATTGTTTTTTGTGCTGTTTATACTAAAATTATTTTATTTTAACTCTCTTAAAATAGTTATGTCTTATTCAATACTATGATTTCATATTTTGTTTTTATCAATTAATCTTTTATGCCGTGGAATAAAAATCTCTAAAAATTTATTTTTTATTTTTTCATTTCGGGCTCGTATATATTATATATCAAATATCCATATCAAGACTTAACGTTATATTCTAATTCGTAATGATCTGTGGACTAAGGGTCATATGATAATTCGTTACCAAAATATTATTTTTATTGAACTAATATCAAAAAACTTTACGTATTACTTACAATCTATATAAACAAATAGAATAAACCAACGATAAAAAACATCTTAAAATAGATAAGAAAAAACACAGGTTTTTTTTAAACGGTAAAATTTTATATATGTATGATATTTCTTACAAAAGAAAAGCTTTAAATAACCACCCTTTAGTCTCAAAAGTTACATAAAAGTTCAATACCTAGAATAAGAGAAAAGTCTCACTTAAAGAGGCTCTAATTGATGAAACCAACAAATAGAGACTCGAAATGATGATACCAAAAAGAACCTTGTCATGTGAGTGGTCCCTGAGGCAGCCAAGGATCCAACCAAAACATACATTTCTCACCATTCTCTAGTTCGCATATGAGGAAAGGTCTAGCGGTTTGGCGAATTTTGAGTAATTTGTGCCTATTTATTACTCGTATTATAAATAAAAATGAAGACATATTTTATTTTATTATGACGTGTAATATATAAGATATCATGTTGGTAGATAATTAATAGAGTTATTTGGATATTAAATGTTGCATCAAGGAGTTTTCCAGTTTTTAGTTTTAATACAATTCTTATTTAACAATTTTTTTTAGCATCAAACTACTTGTATTTATTCCTTATTTATATGAATTATGAGAAAGGTGAGATTATTTTTTAATCAGTTTTGTTCTCTTATATAAAAATAAAAAATTTTCAAGATTGGCAAATAATGATGTAATGATAACATTTTTTTCATTTTACATGATAAAGGAAATTGTTTCGGGTAAATATGGGACGTCCTTCCAAACACCTTCGACGAATTTTTGAGGCAACCCTTTTCTTTGACAGTATCAGCATGATATTTTTATCCCAAATAAGATACAAAGGCAGTGATAGAATCAAAATGACCGGACAGATCTTGGAGGTGAAGCACGATCGGCGCCATTCCGATTAGTTTGGTACCAACACTCACTAACACAAGGAAGAACACATCCTGCGTTGGGTCTTTGCATACATCCGTTGAAACAATCTTCATAACATTCTCCAAATCCTGCAGAAGCTTGCCCTATCAACACACTCATCATCATCATCAACCCTACAATAGCTACCATTGTTTTGCCCTCCATTCCTTTTTTCTTTTTTTTCTTTTAAAAAATCTTAGTTTTTATTTATTTATTTTGACAAATGGGACACGACAAGGGATATTTATATATGCATATGTGATTTGTCTTTCTTCCATGAATAGTAATATCTTTTTACAAGTTTAGTATTATAAACAGCTGTTACAGGTATTTCGGTTCATTTTATTTCGGTTCTAGTTTTAGCCTGATTTTTTTCCCAATACTTTGACTTTTGTTATTCTTCCAATTGTTTCTAACAACTTTGAAATTATTTTATTTAATTTATGTTGAATTACGTTTCTGTATTTCTCTACTTGCTATTGTTTTTTGTGCTGTTTATACTAAAACTATTTTATTTTAACTCTCTTAAAATAGTTATGTCTTATTTAAAACTATGATTTCATATTTTGTTTTTATCAATTAATCTTTTATGCCGTGGAATAGAAATCTCTAAAAATTTATTTTTTATTTTTTCATTACGGGCTCGATATATTATATATCAAATATCCATATCAAGACTTGACGTTATATTCTAATTGGTATCTATGGACTAAGGTTCATATGATAATTCGTTACCAAAATATTATTTTTATTGAACAAATATCCATAAAAATTTACGTATTATTTACAATCCATATAAATAAACAGAGTAAGCCAACGATAGAAAAACATCTTAAAATAGATGATGAAAAACACTTAGGCTTTTTTTTTAACGGTAAAAATTTATATATGTATGATATTTCTTACAAAAGAAAAGCTTTAAATAACTACCCTTAATCTCAAAAGTTACATGAAAGTCCAATATCTAGTACTAGAATAAGAGAAAAATCTCATTTAAAGAGGTTCTAATTGATAAAACCAACAAACAGAGGATCGGAATGATGAAACAAAAAAGAAGCTTGTCATGTGAGTGGTCCCTGAGTTCTGGGTGGTTGTGTGGTGTGTATATGATTGATTGTTCCAGATAGAGAGGGTATTGGGTGGTCTTGCGGATGTGCTCCTCTCTCTGCTATGGCATGTGGTGGTTGCTGGTCATCTTTCTCGCAAATTACTTTAGAAACTGGCTGCGGAACAGTACCAGAATTACAGTATTTGGAGCTATGCCCAAATTCACTACAAGAGTCACACTTGGGTGGTATCCACCGGTAGGAGACCCCTATTGTATCCACCGAGCTATCCTCTAGTTCAAGTTCAACCTCCTGGGGTAGTGGTTTGGTGAGATCCACGACAACTTTAACATCCACCGAATTGATAGATGTGAACGGCTTGTAGCTTAGCGGCTCTCCTATCGCTCCCGCTATGTAGCTTATCCCTTCTCGTGTGAGCAAATGGAGAGGAACATGTCGTAACTATACCCAGAGTGGTGCTGATTTTAGAGACGGTGGCTCTCGTGCAAATTCCACAGCCCATTCCCAGACAAAGAAGGCATGGTTCCCCACATGCCACAACTCCTGTTCCAACACAGCCTCGCGTATGCGGGTAGAGTGGATACGCACTAACTACGCATTTCCTGTGAGTTTGTGGATTTCTAATCTTCTTTCTTTTCCCCAAAGGTAATTCAGGACAGCATACACCTTCGGCATTCTCGAAACACTCCCGAAAAACGAACAGACAACATAATCTTTGTGTTCCCGGATTCCAGCCTCAATCACAGAGTTCGGGATTTTAACCCGCATCTTTCCAGTTTCTGAAACCGTCGGCTCACCTAGCCTGGTGAGATTCTAACTTGGACCCCTGACTTTGCTTACCCAGGATGGCCTTGGTAGTTCACGGCTCTTCGCAGTGCTGCGTTGTTCACCTATCTTGGTAATCAATGGACTGTACTCCGTGCGTGGGATCTCGGACTGCGGTGGGGCTTTCTCCTGCGGCTCGTTCACTGCAGAGGTAGAGGAGACAGTGGCTATAGGATTTGTCGTCTTCTTCGCAGGCATGGTAGGCGTCGCCTTGGTTTGTATCGGTTGGGGGTAGCTTCGGATTCTGGCGGAGGAGGCTTCGTCGTCGTGGGCTAGGTCCGGTTTGGGGGAGAGATGAACCAGATCTAGAGCAGCTGGGTTAAGGAGTTTCGTCGACGAGGTTGCCGCCGGTAGTGGGGGGATCTGCTTATCCCTAATTCGGGCAGACATTCGGCGATTTGGAGCTAGGGACGTCACCGCCGGTGGTAGCGGCTGCAGCGATTCGGAGGTGGATAAGTCAGGTGACGGGAGATGGGAGGGGTTCGGTTGGGTTTTCCGCTTCCCCATCGGGGACGGCGGTGACTGGGTAGTCTTGATCTCGTGGTTGGCCAGGAGAATCGCACTACTCTCTCTCTCTCTCTCTCTCTCTCTCTCTCTCTCTCTCTCTCTCTCTCTCTCTCTCTCTCTCTCTCTCTCTCTCTCTCTCGGGATATAGCAAAAATGCCCTTAAAATGCTATCCTTGCTTCATAGAGTACCCTTCAAAAAATAAATCTAAAAAAAATAAAATCTGAAATGGAGTAAAGACATATATATCCCTGAATTTTAAATGAAAGACCAAAAGGACCATTACTTTTCGATTAAAAAAATACCTAACTTTTTGAAATTAAAAAAACGCTCTCTCTCTTCTTCGGTAAACTCTCTCTCCGTGCAGTCCTCTCTCTCTCTCCGTGCAGTCCTCTCTCTCTCTCTTGCAATATTTCGAAAACTCTCTCTCTCTCTCTTGCGCGATTTCTGTTTCGAAATTTTCAGAAAATTGAACCCATTTTCCTTGCAATTTTGGTATCTCTCCATGGATCCAAGAACACATATGCCTTCTGCTTCGTCTTCATCTGCGTCTCAGGCCGATTCATCGCCTTCATCGTCGGAGAAAGATCTCCCATTAGAAACGGTAGGTTTGTCTACATCTTCTTCTCCGTTTTTTTCTTCTATGACCTGATCCTGGAGTAAAATCATTAAACTTGTTGTATGATTTGGGATTTCAAAATAGGAATTTAGGGTTTAGGGATTTCGAAATTGAAAATTAAAGTTTTGGGATTTCTGAATATAAAGTTAGGGTTTTGTATTTTGAAATATATAATTTGGGTTTTAGGAATTCGAAATAGAAAGTTAGAGTATGGGTGTGGGATTTCGGAATACCTCAGCAAGTTTAATGATTTCCTTAGTCGCAAGGTCATGTGGGTCACAGGTCACATGAGTGACAGAGATTTATATGGTAATAGTATAATAGAACTCACAACACCGCACACGAGTCACACGGGTCACAGGTCACGGATCACATAGGTCACAGGTCACATGAACCACGGGTCCCAGGTCACAGGTCACAAAGATCACAATGATGAACAATTATTTTATTTTGCAGCTTCCATTTGTTTACAAATTCGAAGACATTCAGTTTTCTTCGAAGATCAATACGAAGTGTTATCCGTATGAGACATTGAAGACGCTTAAAGAAATACTGACACAGGATGAATGGACATACTTCGAGAAAGAATCACAGTTCCAACATCTATTTCATGCGCAATGGGATCCCCAGCTAAAGATGGCACCTGCGGGAGTTCTCATTAACCGCTCTGTTAAAGCGGAAGACGAGAAGGAATTGTGGTTCGTGCTCAATGGTGTGTCCGTGAGGTACTCAATCATTGAGCATGCACTTATATGTGGTTTGAAGTGTGGGAAATATCCAGAAGGATGGGAGAGCTTGAAAAAGAGTGAGTTCAGGAAAAAGACTTCCGGACGTAAGAAGGTTTGTTTGAATGATGTGGTGGAGAAATTGAGATATATGTCACCCCAGAGGGCAGCAGATCGTAAGAGATTGGCTATTGTATGCTTGATGGTCGGAATCTTGGATCATGCCCTGTCATCCGAACAAATCAGCCATGATTTGTTCGACATGGTTGATGATTTACGTTGCTGTGAACGATTTTCGTGGGGTCGATACATTTTTGATCGAATAGTTGATCAAGTGCGAAAAAGTCTCGGTGCGAAACCAAAGACAAAATGGCATTGCCCGGGGTTTATAATCCCTCTGATGGTAAGTTATTTATTAAATTACGAGTAAATTATTTGAAAGTTGGATTGATTTGATTAGCTTTTTTATGTTGCAGTTGTTGCCTTTTGAGTGCATTGAAAGCTTGGGTGCCAACGGGTGGTATACAGATGTTTCAGGTGCAGACCCAAGCTGTCCTAGAATGTGCAAGAGGGTAATCAAACCCGGGCTTAGATGGACCTTCCCTGCTGTAATGGAAAAGATTGGAATTGAATCACAGGTACGGGTCACGGGTCACGGGTCACGGGTCACGGGTCACGGGTCACATGAGTCACATGGGTCACACATGTCAAAAGTAACATTTTTTTTTTATTTCAGGGTATTAAAAGTATTCTACAAGTGGGAAAGGATGAAGAAGCACTTCTGTATGATCTGGAGGATTACAAGGGAAGTAGTGATCCAAAGATCAGTGTATGGATGCAACATTTGCAGTTGAATCCGCAAAGTATCTGTTGGGATAGCATCCGTGAGCTTGATGCCAGATGCAGAGGTTCTTTGAAAAAGGGAAAAGCTAAGATAGTTGAAGAAGATGATGATGAAGTAGAAGAAGAACAAGAAGAACAAGAAGAGAATCAAGAAGAAGAGACTCGGGTTGAGGGTGAACCTCCAAGAATGCGAGGATCCACAGTTTCAAAAGTGGATGCATTAGAGAAGTTCATTAAACAGGAGATCAGTGCATCCGAGGCCAGGATCATTGATCACATGGGTCAAGCGATCCAAGCATCTGAGACGAGGTTAATTACTTGTCTAAAAGATATTCTGAAACAGTCTGGTCATTTCTCTGCGAACTATTCGTATAGAGTGCAACATAGGAATGATGAAGTGTGGGGGGACACTGCAACTTCTAAAGACCATGCTGGAGAAACGGATGTTTTTATGGATGTCCCTCAAACTGGGAATGTTGATGTGGATCTCCGTGAAACTGTTGAGAAAGGTGACAAGGTTGCCGATGATGATGTGGATCTCCCTCAAGCTTTTGAGCAGGGTTCTAAGGCTGACAATGCTGATGTGGATATCCCTCAAGCTTGTGACGAGGGTTCTAAGGGTGGGAATGATGATGTGGATATGCCTCAAGCTTGTGACGAGGGTTCTAAAAGTGGGAATGATGATGTGGATATCCCTCAAGCTTGTGAGGAGGGTTCTAAGGGTGGGAATGATGATGTGGATCTCCCTCAAGCTTGTGAGGAGGGTTTAGTGGTTGGGATTGTTGATTTGAATCTGCCTCAACCTGAAACCCCAAAGGAAGTCCTTCAGGCAGTCCCATCTGAAACCCCAAAGGAAGTCCCTCAAGCAGAAGGTAACTCTAGCTCTGAAACTTCACCACTCAGATTTCGTTTGAAAAGAAAACAAAGACAAGGGCCGGCAAAAAGAAGTCGATACGTTGAACCAGAATCGAGTGAACCCCCTGCAAAGAATAAACGTTACAAGACACTTGTCAGAGGTAGAGGAAGAACGGGAAGGGGGAGAGGAAGTAGTAGGCGTACACAACAGCAGGAAGAACCAAAGAAACCGGAATCAGAAGGCGAAGAAGCTGAGGTTGCATACTTTGTCTGGCAACCTGAAGGAGTTAATGGTGACAACCTCGAAAGGACGGCATCCTTTCTTTCATCGTCCACTCTAAAAGCGAGTATTCTTTGGAAATTTATGAATATGCCCCGAGAGAAAAGGATATGGAAGTCTAAGTTGAATGCAACTAGAGATTCAAAGTTTTTTGAAACTATTTTGGAGAGCGAGAAATGGCTCACAGATGAGGTAAAGCTCCATTAAATAGGTCACGGGTCATACGGGTCATCTCTAACATGTTTTTGTTTTTCTTTGACAGCATATAGAAGAGGCATTGTGTGCGTTTCGGTGCAACTATTTGAAGTACTCCAGTAGAACCGTGCTCTCTAACTGTTGCATATGTGATCTATACTTCTCGGAGACCATCATGCGGTGGGAAGAGAGTGGGAACTTGTCCAAGCTGAGTTGTCTTGAGAAATACTTCTCCGGTAAACGCCCAATTGGAGGAGGTGTACGTAAGCCGTTGCAGAAGTATGATGTTCTTCTAACTGTTGTGAACATCCCTTCACCCGCAGACCCCAAGATTCCCTATCATAGGGTTGCCATTAAAGTGGATTTCAGGGACAAAGTACTTAAGGTATACAACTGTCAACCGAGACTACTGGAGAACATGGATAAGGTTGCTAATAAGTTAGCAGTGGATTTCAGGGACAAAGTACTTAAGGTATACAACTGTCAACCGAGACTACTGGAGAACATGGATAAGGTTGCTAATAAGTTAGCTATTCTCATACCGCATGCATACGTCCTTGCTAAGACGAAATTGTTTCGTAAAGGGGATTTGCTTGAGGTTCAGTACAAGATTGGACTTCATGAAAATGCAACAGGTTCTGATTCTGGTGTCTATGCTGCAAAATACGTGGAGGGAATAATGTTGAACAAGGCAGCAGAATTCATGTCGATATGCGATGGGACCATACCAATGATCCGTGAAAAATTGGCTATCGATATATTTTGTAATGGTAAATTTGTATGAACTGACCCGTTATTTATTGTGAACCCTTTCGTAGTTTGTAAACTTAGTGATTGTAAACTCTTTCGTATTTTGGATTATACTTTGACTTGGAAATATTTCAAGAAAAAAAAACATAAGTCCAATGGATCACGCGGGTCACAAAGGTCAACGATCACATATTTTAACACTTTAAAATCGAGATTTGACCGTGTTTTATAAGTGCCACTGAGTCACGGGTCACATGGGTCACATGGGTCACGGGTCACGGATGAGTCACATGGGTCACATAGGTCACATGGGTCGAATTGATCGAATTAGTGATTTGGCATGGTTATGCAGTGATTAATCATGGATTTTAACATTAATAACAACTTTAAAATCATGTTCATTTCAATTTTCATATTCAAATCGCTCATCCAAATGTAATCCATAAGTGATACTAGTGTTTCATGACAACTTATGAACAAATTGTACTAATGTTCATATAACTCTTACTTTTGTTAACGAATTTAACTTGCAGATACCATATTATCATTGTAAAACATCATATAACCCATTTTAACACTTTAAAATCGAGATTTGACCGTGTTTTATAAGTGCCACTGAGTCACGGGTCACATGGGTCACATGGGTCACGGGTCACGGATGAGTCACATGGGTCACATAGGTCACATGGGTCGAATTGATCGAATTAGTGATTTGGCATGGTTATGCAGTGATTAATCATGGATTTTAACATTAATAACAACTTTAAAATCATGTTCATTTCAATTTTCATATTCAAATCGCTCATCCAAATGTAATCCATAAGTGATACTAGTGTTTCATGACAACTTATGAACAAATTGTACTAATGTTCATATAACTCTTACTTTTGTTAACGAATTTAACTTGCAGATACCATATTATCATTGTAAAACATCATATAACCCATTTTAACACTTTAAAATCGAGATTTGACCGTGTTTTATAAGTGCCACCATCATGGACATGGTTTATGGAAAGATTGAAAGATGCAATACCAGATGGACCTGATGTCGTTGTGTTATCCGATCGGCATAGAAGCATAATTAAGGCTGTTAGAGAAGTGTACAAGGAAGCTGGACACGGTTTTTGTGTAAGACACATCGCACAAAATATAAAAGTTAAGGTTAATAAAGGTGTGGGAAGAAAGAGTAATAGAGGTGAATCTGTCGCTTCACTATTCTACAAATGCGCAGAAGCTTACACGCTCAACGAGTTTGAAGAGCGGTTTAATGATTTGAAAGTCAGGT